CCCCAAAACCCCAAAACCCCAAAACCCCAAAACCCCATGATACCTTATTAAAAAGGAATAATCAAAAGTAAAAATTATAATAGAGGTGATTTGATAATTGAAAAGAGATGTTTGTTTTTTTGGTTTTTAACATGAATTAAAATTAGCAAGCAATGAAATCAAGCATTGGTTATAATAAATAACAACATACACTCAAATACTGACTCCAAAACTCACTAATTGATACCCTTCGGTTAGATCTTTATATGCACTCACTAAGGGACTATGTTGGCTTATACTAATGGTTGGTTTTGAGCTTGCTATAGTAGATTAAATGCCTCAAAAGCTTTGTGGGAGAAGTAAGAAGGATTGGACAATAATTGATTGAAGTCTACTACATTCTCATCGATGAGCATTCCGGTAATTTTACCTGCGAATTATTATCCGAAAGCTGCTTCGATCTATGGATAGAGGGCGTTACCAACGAATTGTCTCTTCTCATTTGGATCAGAGATTTGGGCAAGTTATGAGAGATCAACTTCTGGTAATGGGAGTGGAGGAATATTTGGTTATTATTATGGCATGCCCATAACTGGGTTTGGAACAGGCTGCATCATTCCAAATTGTTATTGTGGCATCTACTACATGTACATTGGGTTATATTGCTGAGGGAATGCATTTGGTGGCATTTATTGGGGTGGATGTTATCTCTGTGTATATTGTTGATTATGTCCAGGTCCCATACCGCCTCTATGACCTCCTCTTTGTGGTCCTCCTCTGCCACCTCTGTTTCCTCTGTTCATGTTACCAGCACCACCTCTATTGTTATATTGGTTTGGCATCATTTGTTGACCTTGAGGTCCTTGAGATTGGGGATATCCACCTCCAATATTTTGTTATTGATTAACTATAAAATATAAGAATGTTAAAAATTTTACCTTGTTGGTATTGAGGAATAGTGAGATTAAGCATGTTATTCAAGAACTGCTTGATCTTTTGATTCTCCTTTTTCTTATTTTCTTGCTCTTTTTCTTCCTTTGAAACCCACAATTCTACCAAAAGTGGCTTGTGACCAAAGACAGTTGATAAATGGAAGGTTTGGATTGCTTTTTGAGCAGCTGGCACGGTGTCATAAAGGATATAAGCAAATTGATATGGAGAGCTCTCCTCGTTGTCATACTTCTTGATATACTTGACAAGTTTAATCGATACAATTTTAGAGTCCTTTATGGTGAAGGTTTATCTTAGTTGCTCTTCTGTGACATCATTGGGGATGAACTTAACGAAGACATTCGAGTTAAATGTTTTTGTCAAGTTTTGAGTAATTGGATTGATCTTTGAGCCATGGGATGGTTCATTATCCTTCTTGCTCACATGCTAGTTTACAATCAAGAAGTGGTCATCTGAGATCTACTTCTTGTTCATAGCTTACATAGCTTTCTCTGCATGATCTGGATCCTTATAGCACACATATCCGTAATCTTTGTGATTTCCTTGCTCGTCACGTTGAACTGAGGCTGAATCAATCTAACCGAATTCCTAGAAAAGATTCTTGAGTTGAGCATCATCAGTTCCCTTTGGTAAATTCTTGACGAATAGATTGTTAAATTTAGCGGGGTTCTAAGTTTCTCTTTGAGTTTTCTTCTCATGCTTGTTGATTTCAATTTTTTTGCCCTTTAATTCTTTTTCATTCATTGCTTCTAATGCCTTCTCAGCTTCTGCCTCATTTTGGAATTGAATGAAAGCATAACCTTTGCTTTGACCATCTTGATAAGTCTCGAGTTTGCATGATAAGATCTCTCCAAATAATCTGAATTATTCGTAGAGTTCTTGTTGTGAGACGTCCTTGTCAAGATTTTTTACTAGGAGATTAGCTTTTTCGTTATATTCAAACTTTGGCATTGAGAGGGAGATTCTGAGAGCCTATCCATTGAGAACGTAGTTATTCATACCTTAGAGAGCTCTTTCAGCTTCCTCTTGAGTGGCGAATTGAAGGTATCCGTAGCCGAGTGGTTTGCTAGTTCTTTTGTGTAAAACTACCTTAGCACTCTTTAGCCTGTAACCTTTGCTGGTGAAAAGCTTGTAGAAATCCAAATCGAAGAAGTTCTCTTTTGGAAGATTGCCTACGTACAAGCTGGGGAACTTGTTCTTATCCTCCTTGCTTAATCCTTATGATCTCTGCTGAGTAAGGTTTTGAAGTTGATCGGAAAAGATTTGGTTTCCTTGCATGAATTGAGGTTGTTGTTACATCATTTGAGGGTTCATTTGCATAGCAGGTTGTTGTCCGTACATTTGTTGAGGCACTTGTTGCATCATGTTGGGTGGGAGTTGGGTTCTTTGTTGTTGCATTTCGTCTAGATTTGAAAGAATGGTAAGTAGGAACTTTAATAAAGATTTAATATATTTAATATTAATTGAGAGAGGACTCACACCTACTATATTGATATGAAGTCTATTTAATACGCGCAATATTCTTAAATCTTACTCCTTCAAACTCACCTAACACATTTTTTCAAATTTGGGGTTTTGGGGTTTTGGGGCATAGAAGTATTTAGAAGATGCCTGTAAGCAGCAA